TTTACCTCACAGGGTGTCTGTTGTGGGGAGGGGAAGGGAAAGGAGTTTGTCAGCCGCTCTGAGACACCTTTGGGTGGTGAAGGGCGGGGTATAAATCCAATCTCTTCTCCTCTTCTTCTTTTACCTCACAGGGTGTCTGTTGTGGGGAGGGGAAGGGAAAGGAGTTTGTCAGCCGCTCTGAGACACCTTTGGGTGGTGAAGGGCGGGGTATAAATCCAATCTCTTCTCCTCTTCTTCTTTTACCTCACAGGGTGTCTGTTGTGGGGAGGGGAAGAGAAAGGAGTTTGTCAGCCGCTCTGAGACTCCTTTGGGGAGTGAAGGGCAGAGTATAAATCCAATCTCTTCTTCTTCTCCTCCTCTCCATTTTTTCCTCACAACCAGTGCTCCCTCTAAGCCGTGGAGCCTCATGAGCAAAAATTCTACTCTGTGAGCTACCGGCATTAAAGTTGTGAGCGAGCGATTTGGCTGCTGCAATAAATTAGTCTGCTCCGGAGCCCCATCCTTCCCGAGCTAAGACAAAAAAGTGTGAGCCGGAGGCCAAAAAACTCTGAGCTAGCACACACTAACTCAGCTTAGAGGGAACACTGGCCCCCTGCGAGCTGAGTTAGGCGGAGAGAGTGTGACTGGCCCAAGATCACCCAATTAGCTTCCGTGGCACGAGTGGGGGGGGGGTCTGAATCTGGGTGTCTTAGGGTTCTAACCACTGGACCACATGGCTCTCGCATAAAAGTGGACAGACTGGATATGCCTGCCGGATAGGCCCAGTAAGGCAGCCCTCCCGAACACTGGCTGTCAGTTGGGGGTCGGTACCTTCGACCTGCGTCTCTGTGGTGCCAGAACGGCTTTGCTCTTCTCTCCCCAGCATCCATCATCTTCATTATCTGGACCACCAAGACGTTCCGGCTCGCCACGTGCCAGTCGGTGAGTAGTCACGTCCGGTGCGACGGGAGAGCAGCCTCAAGGACTGGGGTGGGATTTGAGCTTATGGTCTAAACCAGGGTTCCCCAACATGCTGCCTGCGGGCGCCGGGGCTCCTGCCGACACCTTTCCCGGCGCCGGCCGAGTGCTTTCAGGACGTGGGAGGGGCTAGGCAGGGCTTTTTGACCAGCAGGGCTTCTGGTTGGCTGTGCAGATAAAAGGGCCTCTACCTGAAATGTGGGAAGAGTTACCATCGGAGTTCTATGGAACCTTGCTCTCGGCCATTTTGTGCTTGGCTCCACCTTTTGTGGCGGCCATTTTGTGACTGCGCACACCACCCTGTGTCAGAATTCCAAAGTTGCCCAAAGGCTTAAAAATGGTTGGGGAACCCAGTCTAAACTTTACCCTTTTAAAAAAAAAGTTATATGCAATCTTGGAAACTCAGTAAATAGACCCGTACCTTCCATCTCCTGAACATAACGGATTATTCTGTCGCGTGAAAATATCTTTTAATTCCCTAAATGTTTTTTTTTTGTGGGGGAGAAGACCCACAGGAAGTTTACGGAGCTTGAATGGTGGAGGGGGTGTTAACCCCCCTTTTTTGGGGGGTGGCTGTCTGCTAACCCTCCTTTCTCCTTTTCTGGCTCGTCAGGACTGGCGGGAGCTGTGGATTGACGATGCTTTCTGGCGGTTCCTCTTCTCCATCATCCTCTTAGTCATCATGTTCCTCTGGAGACCCTCAGCCAATAACCAAAGGTAGGGCAGCGCCCCCCCCCTCAGCAGATGTTGATAGCTGGTTTTCCAAAGGACAGGTCCCCGGGTTGGGGTGCCCCTACAGCTCAGTAGGAGGGGGAGGGGGAGGAAGAAGAGGAGGGGGAGGAAGAGGAGGAAGAGGAATGGGAGGGGGGAAGAGGAGGAGGTGGTGGTGGTTGGATTTATACCCCGCCCTTCCCTCGGAGTCTCAAAGCGGCTTACAATTGCCTTTCCCTTCCCCTCCCCACAACAGACACCCGGTGAGCAGTGTTCCCTCTAAGCTGAGTGAGTGTGAGCTAGCTCACAGTTATTTTAGCCTCCGGCTCACACATTTTTGTCTCATCTCGGGAAGGAGGGCTCCGGCGCACACTAATTTATGCCATAGCCTAATGGCTCGCTCGCAACTTTAATGCCGGTCAGCTCACAAGGTAGAATTTTTGCTCACAGGACTCCACAGCCTAGAGGGAGCATTGCCTGTGAGGTCGGTGGGGCTGAGAGAACTCTTTCGGGGACTGCCCTTGAGAGAACAGCTCCGAGAGGACTTGTGACTGACCCAAGGTCACACCAGCAGCTGCATGTGGAGGAGTGGTGGGGGGATCAAACCCAGTTCGCCCAGATTAGAATCTGTGCTCTTACCCACCTTGAACTGTAGCAGAGCAGCTGTTCTGCACACACAAGGTTCTCGAACCGCTCGGCTGGGGATGTTCCCCTAACTTAAGGTCTCAAGAGGTTGTTGGAACAGCCGGTACAAAGAAGGGAAGACACCAAAAAATCCACAGCTCTTGTTTTTAGACAGAGGAAGCAGAGACCTCAGTTGTAATAGCTCACACAGAAGATCCCCGCTGACAACGCTGGGAAAGGTCTGTCTCTGTCCAGTAGCTCGATTCAAGTCCAGCATTACTTTAGAGACCAACAAGGTTTTGGGGGTATGATATTTCAAGCGTCAAAGCTCCCTTCGTCAGACATGTGCTGGAATGGAGAGCTCTGAGTCTTTCTATCCAATGTTCCCTCTAAGCTGAGTTAGTGTGAGCTAGCTCACAGTTTTTTAGCTCACCCATTTTTGTCTTTGCTCAGTAAGGGACGGCTCCGGAGCAAACTAACTGATGCAGTAGCCGAACTGCGCGCTCACAGCTTTAGTGTCAGTAGCTCCCAAAGTAGAATTTTTGCTCACAAGACTCCACAGCTTAGAGGGAGCATTGTTGATATCCCAATCAGAAGGTGGGAAAGATGTTGGGAAAAAGGGATTCGGGACACAAAGGAACCAGGCATATTGTAATCAGCTTAGATTCTGGTGGGTCACCGTGTTGGTCTGAAGCGACAGAAGAAGGAGGAGGAGGAGGAGGAGGAGAAGAAGAAGGAGAAGAAGAAAAGAAGAAGAAGAAGAGGAGGAGATTGGATTTATACCCCGCCCTTCACTACCCAAAGAAGTCTCAGAGCGGCTTACAATCTCCTTTCCCTTCCCCTCCCCACAACAGACACCCTGTGAGGGAGGTGGGGCTGAGAGAGCTCTGACAGAAGCTGCTCTTTTTCAAGAACAGCTCTTATCAGAACTACGGCTTGCCCAAGGTCATCCAGCCAGGTGCAAGTGGAGGAGTGGGGAATCAAAGCTTATCCCCAGAATTCAACTTTGTTGGTCTTAAAGGTGCCGCTGGACTCAGAACTTTGTGATCGGCTTGAATGCTCCGATGGATCTGATCGCCGTATGCCTGATTCCTTCACATCCTGAGTCCCTTTCTTTGCAACGCCCTTCCCACATTCTGCTTGGCAGCAGAACATTAGCATCTGTAGTGAGATAAGTGCGTGAGTCAACAAGATCTTGGGGTACGGATGGACCGTAAGTTGACTGTGAGCAGCCAGTGTGACGCGGCGACAAAAAAGGCTAATGCGATCTTGGGGTGCATCAACAGAGGCGTAACATCCAAATCTCAAGATGTTATAAGTCCCGCTGTACACTGCATTGGTCAGGCCGCCCCTGGAGTATTGTGTGTGGTTCCGGAGGCCTCGTTTCAGAAAAGATGCGGACAGAACGGAGCGCACGCAGGCCTAACACTCCCGGACAGAGGGAAGGAAACACAGTTTCTTCCCTGCATCTCATAGCGTTTGGCTGTCCACCTCTCTCCCCAGATATGCCTTTATGCCCTTGGTGGACGAAGGCAGCGAGCCAGAAGACGAGGAGGACGAGCAGATGGTCAACAAGGCCTTCGGTAAGTCGGTCCGAACCGGCCCAGCAATGCCAGCAGGTGGAGCGTGCCCCCCGTTTGGATCTGGGGGCGTAATGTGTGGGGTGAGGACAGACCAGGGGGGTTAGTGGGTCTCCCTTCTTGGGACAGAGGGTATGCTTTGGTAATCTGCTCGTGTTGGTTGTGGAGAGGCACGGGAAGGGGCTTCGATGGAGCCCACTCACTCCTCGACCCTCAGTCGTGTATCTCAGAAATCCTAGGTTCCTCGACGTGGTGCCCATGAGTACGTCCCATGGCACCCACTGAGTTTTACAGAAAGTGGGCTGGACCATTGTAAGGCAGGGCTTGTTATCGGCTGCCCTCACAAACGAGGGCTTTCCGCTGGAGGGTGAGGAGACCTGGTCGGCACCTGGGCTTTCCTCAGTCAGCAGGCGGTTCCAATCCCCCTTCGAGATTTCCTCCTTCCCAGGAAGTGTGAGGAGGGAAGTATCCCATTTGGCATTCTGCCTCCTGAGGCAGCCATTTTGCATTTGGCTCCGCCTCTCGAGGCAGCCATTTCTTCCCAAGGCAGCATTTTGCCTTTGGCTTCTCCTCCCAAGGCAGCCATTTTCCTTTGGCTCTGCCTCCTGAGGCTGCCATTTTGCCTTTAGCTCCGCCTCCCGAGGCAGCCATTTTGCCTTTGGCTCCGCCTCCTGAGGCAGCCGTTTTGCCTTTGGCTCCCCCTCCTGAGGCAGCCATTTTGCATTTGACTCACCTCTCGAGGCAGCCATTTTACCTTTGGCTTCGCCTCCCGAGGCAGCCATTTTGCCTTTGGCTTCGCCTCCCGAGGCAGCCATTTTGCCTTTGGCTCCACCTCCCGAGGCTGCCATTTTGGGGTGATGCTATCTAACCCGCCCCCAATTCCAAAGGTCCCCCACAGGCCCAAAAGGGTTGGTGACCCCTGGCCTAGAACGTTTTGTCCTCCTGATGTCCAAGATACGTTGCGTGCAATTTCCACCTGCTCCCGGGCCTACTCAAAGCTGAGCGTCTTTTCACACCCAGATTTAGGAGGGGACGGAGCAGTTCCCCCTCCGCAAAGCCCTCCTCGGCCTCTGGAGCTCACGGCAGGGTCGGAGAATTCAGAGCAAACCTGCTCAGCCCCCAGAAGCGCAAGCGACGGAAATTCCCTCTCGGTATCGGACGTGGCTGGTTTGGGCCTTCTTTATTTTCTCTTTTTTCTGTGGCAGGGATGAAGATGAGAGGCACAAAGCCCGAAGCCAACGGAATCCTCAAGGGGAGCCGTGTGGTAAGACACACACACCCCCGCCCGCTTGCCGTTCTCCCCCCTCATGTCTCCTTGACTACGCTCAGATCGTAAACTTGCTGTCCGGGATCCGTCATTTTCGTGATGGTGGTGGTGGTTAAAAACGCATTGTAAACAGAGCCATAGTCAGGATGTTTTTGACTTTGGGGAAGGGGGGGCACTGTGTCAGGAGCGACGAGAGAGAGAGAGAGAGGGGGAGGGCTGGAATTAGGAGCAGTGTTCCCTCTAAGCTGAGTTAGTGTGAGCAGGCTCACAGTTTTTGAGCCTCCGGCTCAGACATTTTTGTCTCCGCTAAGGAAGGGAGGGCTCCGGAGCAAACTAATCTATGCGGTAGCCGAATCGCTCGCTCGCACCTTTAATGCCGGTAGCTGACAAAGCAGAATTTTTGCTCAGAGGACTCCACAGCTTAGAGGGAGCGTTGGTCCTGAGCCAGTGTTCCCTCTAAGCTGAGTTAGTGTGAGCAGGCTCACAGTTTTTGAGCCTCCAGCTCAGACATTTTTGTCTCCGCTCAGGAAGGGAGGGCTCCAGGGCAGACTGATCTATGCAGTAGCCGAATCGCGGGCTCATGACTTTAATGCCGGCAGCTCACAAAGTAGAATTTTTTACGCACAAGACTCCAAAGCTTAGAGGGAGCGTTGGTAGGGAGCAGACATGCCCCGTGGCGTGCCTCGCCCGCAGCCTGGCCAGAGGTACGCTGCCGACGGGCAGGGCGACGGCTCGACGTGGCACGGCTGTAGCGTGCACAAAAAATACAATTAAATAAACTGGGCGGGTGGCTGGGAGGTTGGGGGGCCCAACCCCAAGATGACCTACTGTAGCTTCGGGCCTGATCATAAAACACCCTACTAATGTTATACGTGTCCCAGATTTAAAGGGGACATCCTTCCGTTGTATAATTTAACCTCAAAAAGCAGGGGGGGTGGAGAGGCGATTTGGATCTGGGCTGCAGCGCTGGGGGCTGGGGGTGGTTCTAGATTGCTTCCCTTGCTGGTTTCCCAGTAAAAATCTCCCTCCTGTCATACCAGTGGAATACAGCTTGTTTCCTTCCCGAGAAGTCAAACAATTGGAGGGAGTGTGTGTTGGGAATGTCTGCTGTGAAAATGGTCTCGAGCAAAAGGTTAAGAGCTGTAGCCACATTGCCATCGCCCCAATCCTTATTCTCTCTCATTCCACCCAGTTGCTTTCTCCAAAAACATTGTTACAAAATCAGCTCTCTCGTTTCCGGGTGTCCTCCTGACTTCTTTCCTCCCTACGTAGGATGAAGACTTGAAATGGGTTGAAGAAAATATCCCCTCTTCCATGGCCGACGTGTAGGTGTTTCGTTTTTTAATTCTTGTTAACTCCCCACCACCACCCAATCAAATCCCCCTGTTATAAAAATCAGCCCAAAAGGCATCTAAGAAAAGAAATATACAAGTTCAGGGCCTGTCAGTATTATGAGAAATCCAGGCGTAAAAGCTGATAGACGATGGGTTGGATCCAGAGGTGCCCGTTCAGTTTCAGCCGTGAGCAGTTCGCTACACTGGCGAAGAAGCAATGAATATTCTGCTTATGTTGTCTGCTCTTCTCGTGGTTAAAAGCAGAGTCCCCGGTAAGAACATGAGAAGAAGAGCCCTGCTGGATCAGACCCAGTGGTCTGTGGGGGGTAGCCATCTTGGTTTGCAGTAGGAGAGCTAAATTTGAGTCCATTGTCACCTTAAGAGACCAACAGGATTCTCGGCGCATGAGCTTTTGAGAATATAAGAACATCAGAAGAGCCCTGCTGGATCAGGCCAGTGAGGGTCCATCCAGTCCAGCATCCTGTCTCACGCAGTGGCCAACCAGTTCCTCTGGAGGGCCAACAACAGGGCAGAGAGGCTGAGACCTTCCCCTAATGTCTCCTGGCTCTGGGATTCAGTGGATTAGTGCCACTGAATGTGGAGGTTCCCCTCAGTCTCCATGGCTTTCGATAGATTTATCCTCCCTGAATTTATCTAATCCCTTTTTCAAGCTGTTTATTCCTCTAGCTATCCATACATCCTCTGGAAGCGAATTCCACGTTTTAATCACTCTATGTGTAAAGTGGTATTTCCTTTCGTCCATCCTGAACCTACTGCCCTTCAGCTTCACCAGAGGCTCTCGAGTTCTAGTCTTTTGGGAGAGGGAGGGAAAAAATTCTCTTTGTCAACTATCTCCACCCTGTGCATCATTTTATAAGCCTCTACCATGCCCCCCCTCCCAGTCATCTGTTTTCTCAACTGAAAAGTCCCAGACGCTTCAGCCTTTCCTCAAAGGGAAGGTGCTCCAGGCCCCTAATCATCTTGTACCTGTTGCGGATACGGGCCAGAAAGCCAAACCACCTTCCAGAATTCTTGTTCTGCTGGATTGAACACTGGGAGAGGGGGAGAGCCAGCTCACGAACACCGCACTCCCTAACAATCTTCTCAGCATCCCGAAGTCTCGGTTACGTTTCGGCCTTCCTGATTTACCCGAAATTTCGTATACGTTATTAAAGGCCTCCTTGACTTAACTACACCCATTAACTGGTTAGTGCGAGGCTCCCCGGGCTAATACGAAAGGGGGAAAGCGTCCTTAGAAACTTTTAGGAGGCACTTGAAAGAGATAATCATACTTGCGGGGGCTTTTAACAGAGCCACCGCAGGGATTTTATTAGGCGGGCAAGCGGGGATCGGGGGATTTTATTACTATTTTTAATTATGTACGGCAAGCTGCTTTGAGCCATAGGAAAATGTGTGTTGTAATAATCATAGTGATTGGCCTTACTCCTTTCTTCTTCTAGCGTGCTGCCCCCGTTGCTGGACTCCGACGAGGTGAGCCAGCTTTTACCTGTGTTTCGTTCTTCTCGGTTGCTTCGTTCGCCCTAATAATTCCAGAAGAGGTTCCATCATCAAGGGCCACGATGTGACTGGATTATCCAAGTGGGGCTGGGAGGGGGCTGCGGATGGGAATGGCGAAAGCCGGTTTCGTCTCGCAAGCGGGTCTCGGCTCCACAGCTGGCAATTTCGGAAGGCGGCCAGGGTTTAAGGACCATTGCGTTCCTGCCGCACTCCCAGTGAATCCCTTCCCCTAATTCCCCGTTGAAGCGTTTTCCCCGTCTCCTCCCAAAATAGGCTGTGTGGGACCCTTTCTGTTCTCTGGCTGCTATGACCTCACAGCAGCTCAGCCAATGAGGGAAGAGACTTCCTAATGAGGTCCCTGATGCTCCCCTCTGCTCCCAGAGCTGGCTGCATCGCAACAGTTGAATTCACAGGAACACAAAGTCAATCTTGTCTGCTCAGATTGGAAGCGGCTCGCCAAGGTCTCAGGCAAAGAGTTCTTTCCCATCACCTGCTGCCTGGTGCTTTTAACTGGAGATGCCAGGGATTGAACCTGGGACCTTCTGCGTGCCAGGCAGAGGCTCTACCACTGAGCCACAGCCCCTCTTTACAGCTCTCGAGGGTCTCAGGCAGAGGTCTTTCCCATCACCTCCTACCTGGTCCTTTTTAACTGGGGATGCTGGGGATTGAACCTGGGACCTTCTGCCTGCCAGGCAGAGGCTCTACCACTGAGCCACAGCCCCTCTTTACAGCTCTCGAGGGTCTCAGGCAGAGGTCTTTCCCATCACCAACTGCCTGGTCGTTTTTAACTGGAGGTGCCGGGGATTGAACCTGGGACCTTCTGCATGCCAAGCAGATGCACTGCCACTGAGCTACGGCCCCTCTTATTTTGTGTAGCAAGAGCTGAATTCCTCTTATTATGCTGCCTCATTATTTTTATTATCCTGGCCCTTACGGCAGCAAGCAACTCTTGTCTCCCAGAATGCTCCTCCAATTTGCACCCATGGGGCACTTTTCTGACGGATGCCACAGCCTTGGCCAATTTTTAACTAAACCCCCAATTGGATTCGAGTTCTTTCAAATCCCGCGCAAGCATTTGCTGGCTGAGCCCGGCCGACAGGGGTCCTTTGACCATTGGTTGCGTTGCCGTGAGGTCACAGAATCCAGAGCGAGCATGGGCCAAAGTCTCTGGGAAGAGACCGCCAAGGAGGCGGCTTCAAACGCGAGTGGGTGCAAGTGATTCGTTTGGGGACTTCTGGAGTGCAGGCCACTGTGGGCATGCTCTGAGAGGGACCCACAGTGGAACCCAGGGGTCATTTAGTAGAAAAAGAGGTGCAGGAGCTCATTAGCATAACTAATTAACATAACTCATTTGCATATGCCACACCCCCTGGCATCACCGGAAGTGTGTCAGAAGGCAGCACCCGCCGCTCAGGCTCCACTGGACTGTTTTGGATGGCTAGCTATTGGGGAGGGGGAGACACGTGCAGATCTGTCCTCGTAGAGGAGGGAGAGCTTGTACCTGAATAAAACTTGGTCTTAAAGGTGCCACTGGACTGCTTTGGGCCGGGGGAGAGCTCTGCAACTTACCTGGCTACTTCTTGATCTGACTGAGGGCTGCTGGGAGCAGGAGATGGGGCTTGTTGCATGTGCCGGCCCCCTGGGCTCTTTACTGCCGGAGCTCCGCTTCTGTGCGCCCCTGCAGGAAATGACCCCTGGTGGAACCCACTCAGGGATTCGTGGCCTGTCTGAAATCTAAGGATAGTCCTGAGCCTACACTGCAGGATCAGTAGAGATTACAGGCAGCGGGGTTTTGAACCAGCGAAACACAGGGTGCTTTCACACAAACTAAATGACGCACGTTTAGTGCACTTCGCAACTGCATTTTACTGTGTGGAAGGCCAAAATCCACTTGCAAACGGTCGCCGAAGTGAACTGAAACGGCATTATTTAACGGGTGTGAAAGCCCCCATACTGTATAAGCCAGGGGTGGCCAAAACTTGCTCAGCGTAAGAGCTACACAGAATAAATGTCAGATGTTTGAGAGCTGCAAACCATGAACAAATATTATATGCACATTTTTATTTAAAGATATGCAGATTTGCTTTTTTATTAACATTAAATGAGACTGCCAAAAATAAGAACAAAAGGGGTAGAAACAGATATCGATAATGATATTTATTTGTCCAATGATATATATTTATTTGCTATTGATATTTATTTGTCTAAGAGAGAGAGAGAGGTGAAAAGAAAGAACGAAAGAGGTGGAAAGAAAGAGAGAGAGAGAGAAAGAGAGAGGTGGAAAGAAAGAGAAAGAGAGAGGTGGAAAGAAAGAACGAAAGAGGTGGAAAGAGAGAGAGAGAGAGATGGAAAGAAAGAACGAAAGAGGTGGAGAGAGAGAGAGAGAGAGAGAAAGAGAGAGGTGGAAAGAAAGAGAAAGAGAGGTGGAAAGAAAGAACGAAAGAGGTGGAAAGAGAGAGAGAGAGAAAGAGAGGTGGAAAGAAAGAACGAAAGAGGTGGAAAGAAAGAGAGAGAGAGGGAGAAACAAAGAAAGCAAATAGATGGGAGAAAGGGAGAAGGGACCTCCTTGGCGGTCTCTTCCCAGAGACTTTGGCCCCTGCTCGCTCTGGATTCTGTGACCTCACGGCAACGCAACCAATGGTCGAAGGACCCCTGTCGGCCGGGCTCAGCCTTCGCTTCCCCAGTTGCCCTGCTGGGAGCCGCACAATAGGTGCGAAAGAGCCACATGTGGCTCCCGAGCTACAGTTTGGCCACCCCTGATATAAGCCCTTGTTTGTCTCCTCACTCCCCCCACCCCTTTCTTTTTTAGGAAATTGTAACCACGAAGTTCGAAATGTCCAAGATGGAATGAAGTCAAGACTGCTAACCGGTTGTGCTGTCTTCCCGTTGGATTTTGTGCGGATAAAGAGTCGCGGATGGTCACTTTGTTCCTTTTTACACACGCATATATATATATAGATATATATACACACACACACACACATATATATATATTTGTATATTGTTAAGAAGATTATTTTATTACCGTTTGCGTTTCTGACTCTGAAGCTTCGGGGCTTTTGCCAAGCAGGGACCGCTGCTCGCCCCCGTCAGCCAGGAGAGGAATTCCGAAAGGCCCGTGCCTCCCGCCAGAGAGAAGAATGGGTCGACCCGACTAACCTCGTTCCACCGGCCGTCTCCCCGACTGCGTTTGGAACGAACGTTTTCCCCGCCATTCACACGAGAGCAGTTTTGTAACATCAGTCCGTGTTTCCCTGCTGTTGTCCAGCCCCGGCTTTCCGTTGGCGCCCGCTCAGCATCTGGTGGCGTGAAAGCATCAGCTGTACGTGCGACTCCCAAGTCGGAAGGGGGAATTAGGGGTCCAGTGGGGTTACGGAGGGGGATTCGTTTCTCTCTCTCCTCCTTCCCAACCTTTTGGTGATACAAAGTGGTGTGTGGGGGGAGGGGTGACCAAAGGGGTGTGTGAAAATATGTACGTGATTATTGCTGAGATTTTGAGGTAGGGCTTTGGGGTTTGTGGAAGGCCCATCCGGGGCTAGGCCTAGGGGAGGTTCGTGCCTTTTGGAGAGGAATAAATGCCCAGTCACGTGGCGAAGGTTCTTATTCGTCAGGTGGCGAAGGTTATTCGTCAGGTGGCGAAGGTTCTTATTCGGCAGCCAGAAAACTTTCGCGGGGGACAAAGGCCAGTTCCTTTGCTGCAAACGAGGACAGATTCATTGTGAACACCAACGGACTCTGGCGCGTGCTTGGGAAGGGGAAGGTTCCAGGTTTGAATCCCCATGACGTCGATCCCTTCCAGACCCCTTTAAGACACTACTTCTCAAACTGCGCTGAGGCTTGCGGAAAAGCTCAGTTGTGAATGTACAGCTGCTGGCGTTTGGCGGGATGCGGTTGGTACAGGGGAGGTGTGGCATCAGTTCTCATATGCGAACACCACAGTGCGTTACCCCGGAGTGTGCTTTTTCGTGTCGCAGCAGAACGTTCCTCCTCCCCCTCCCCTCCATTTTTTTTTGGGGGGGTGACACCAGATGGGGAAAAAAAACACATCCTTCCACATGATCGCCTTTCCCCACTTTTTTGTTCCGGGCCCGTGATCTCTGAACCCCTTCTGCTGCTTCGGCAGACAAGAGACCCCCTCTTAGCCCCGAACGCCTGACGCACTCAAGACCCAACTCTGATTTCATTCACACTTTTCTTTACTTTTTAAAAAAAAATAAAATAAAATGTTATATTTGATCAGCGCTGTGGCCTGAATTCTCCCAGAGGGGGGAGTTGCTTTGGCAACGGTTGGCCTCCCTGTACCTTCACGCTTTCACGCATTCTCACACTTGGGGTACGTTTCGTGGTGACCTAGATAATCGGTGGGAGGGAGGAAGGAAGGAAAATCAGATTTCTTCTCCAGTAACCTTTATTTATTTTGCAATTGTACATAATGTCTTGGGGAGGAAAACGTGTGTGTGTGTGTGTTACGCAGTAATATTAAAAAAAGAGAAGAAAAATTACACTCTGTTTCAAGTGTACGCTCGTTTTTTATTTTTATTTTTTTGGTGATTGTCCAAGGCTTCTTACCCGTGGGCTATTTCATCTGTACAAGGATTCAGCCCGGAAGGAGTGCAAATTGTAGGGGAGCGTCTCTGAGCATGCACAAGAATACCTTTCATTCACTTAAGTGACTACATCCAATCCCAGGCAGCCGCATTGGCAGGAGGGGGATTTTTGTCCTTCATTGTTGCTTTGGGAATATCAAAGTTGGGCAGTGAGAGAGGCTGTGAGGTTGGGGGGGGAGCTTTGAGGAAATAGGCCCGGACCCTGCCCATTAAGCTAGGTCCCCCCTCACTGCTGCGTTGCAGCCCCAGCCAAGGAATCGGCCTTTACATCCTCTTGACCCCTGTGGCCCGTTTTCTCCCGCTCTTTCTTCTTAGCCAGCTGCTCCGCCGCCGCATCGATAGCAGCTTCCACTATTTCCACCGCGGCCACGTAGATCAGGCGCTTCTGCTTCTCTTCGGGCCCTGCGGTGTTCGGCCACGGCGTGGCTCCGGGAGGCTCTGTGGGTGACGGCATCTGCTGCCACGTCGGACTTCCCGGAGATGAGCTGTTTTCCCCCAGTGGGTCCAGGACAGCCGTCTGGACGGGTGTGGAAGTCGGGCTGCCTTCAGCTCCCCTCTCTAACTCCCCGGAGGGGCATGGCTCCAATGTTGCTGGTGAGTTCACTTCCTGTGAGAAAACAGGATAGGAGGGGCCCACTTCCTCTGGAGTAGTGGGGCCAGAATGGTGGGATGTGACTACACGGCTTGTTTCATTTCCTGAGAGGGCAGGTAGAAAGAGGCAGCCGGCTCTGCTGGTCCTGTCGGGGGATACACCCGGTGCGTGCTCGTCGAAGTGTTTAATCTCTCTGGAACTGTCTGCCTGAAAAACGGTCTTCTGTTCGATCCCTTGCGTGCTGGGATGGCTCCTTGTGGAAACAGCCGCCTTTCCTTCCACCTTCGGGCCTCCCAGTCCCTCGCTGTTCAACCATCCCCTCGTCGCCATGACCATTCCCTGTCCTCCGGGATTCTCGGCGAGCTCCGCCAAATCCTCCCCCGCGGATAGCTCCGGCCAGTACCTGTCGTCTCCCTGCTCGGGGCCTTCGTCTCCTGTACCAGCCCCTCCCGCCTCCAGCTTCCTTCCCCCAGGAAGATAGCACACTTCTGTTTGGATGCCTTCCGGTTCCGAAACAATCTCAAGGATTGGGCTGCCTTGGCAACAGCTGTTTTCCTCACGGGCTGGCAGCTTGGGAACAGGTTTCAAGATGGCTTCCGTCCTCCTATGGCTCTCCGGTCTATGCTGAGGTGTTTGGTTGGCTCTTTCGTCCTCTCGGGATCCACAAAGCTCGTCCGCCACAGACGGAGGCGTTGACGGCGGGGTTTTGTCCTCTATGGCAACTACATTGTCCTGTACTCGCACAGTGTTGCTTGCACTGGTGGCTGGCAAGGTTTCCAGCTCTGCGGGGAGGGAAAGAACCTTTCCTCCCGTTGCCCCTGGATTTCTCTCATTCCCTGAGAGGGCGGATCCTTTCTTCGCTCTGGCGGCCATCATGGTCCTGAATGTTCTCCATGGCTTGGCCAACCATGAGGTATCTAGCTGATGGACTGTTTCTGCCTTCTCTGGCTCGGTGAGCGAGCCAACATCTTCTGGACTCTGCGTCTCCGCTCTGGGCTTCCACCTCAGCGGAGATTCCCCGTGAGGGTCTGCCGTTCTACTGAGGGCGGTGATGGGCCCACATCTCGGTCTCTGGAGAGGGGACGCCTCTGACCTGAGGGGTGGTTTCTTCAGCTTCGAGTCAGTTGCCTTCAGACACCACAGTTTCCTGAGTAAGGAGGGGCCCGTTTTCTCTTGTGTAGAGCCCTCCTCGGTGTCCAAACCGAGGGCGTCTCTCTGAGTTGGTTTCCTGACAGCCTGGATGGGGCTTTCGTGGGTGGCTTCCGCGCACAGGCGGCTCCGGGAGACCACCAGTCCCTGAGGAGCGTCGGCGGGCCCTTTTCTCTTCAGCCACAACGGGAACTTCCTCTTTAGGAAACCTTTTCCGGAGGGAGATCTCCCTCCAGGCTTGGGTTTGAATGTTGGGCTTCCGCTCCCCGGAGAAGGCTGGGAGACGGGCAGATGGCTTGTTCCTTGACCCGCGAGAGACGGGAGCTTGTTTTCATCATCACAGGAGGTTGGATGGGACTCCGTTATCTCTGTGGCAGTCTGCATGTTTCCTATCTTGGCCCTCTGAGCAATTTTTGGTGTTTTTTTCCCCCTCTTGGAAGAGAAGCTTGAAGCTTTTCTTTCCCGGCTGCGGCTTCTGCGCCTCCGTTCCGGTCAGTCTTGGCTACACATTATCCTCCAGAGATTCATTTCTTTCAGTGCTGCCTATCTCATTTTTTTTAATCCCGCCAACATTCCAACCCTCTCCCGAAGTCTCCCAGCTTCTGTTTTACTGTCTTCAACGGCTTGCCCCCTTCTCATGCTTTTTCCCAGGCAGAAGCATTGGCATCGTCATTTGGACCAGAAGAAAAGTCGATTCCCTGAGTGTAGAAAGTCAAAAGCGGTTCACGATGGTCTTGCAGGGCTTCCTAGAAAAGGTGCACACAGAGACCAAAAAAAATATATGATTGAATTATCCTGCAGTTACCCAATGTTCCCTCTAAGCGGTGGAGTCTTGTGAGCAAAAAATCATCTTTGTGAGCTACTGGCATTAAAGTTGTGAGCGATCGATTTGGCTGCTGCATAAATTAGTTTGCTCTGGAGCCATCCTCCGTGAGCTGAGACAAAAATGTGTGAGCTGGAGGCTAAAAAACTGTGAGCTAGCTCACACTAACTCAGCTTAGAGGGAACACAGGTTACAAACCCCCCCCCACCTAAACCATAAAATTAATCCGTAACCTTTGTTTTCATCTACCCCAGGAATATGGGCTATGGCTCAGTGGCAGAGCAACTTCCTGGTTCAATCCCAGGGCTCTCCAGTTAAAAGAAACGACGGAGCTTAAACTGAGGCTCTCTCATACTTTGGTCACAGTGTTCCCTCTAAACTGTGGAGTCTTGTGAGCAGAAATTCTACTTTGTGAGTTACCGGCACTAAAGCTGTGAGCGAGCGATTTGGCTCCTGCATAAATTAGTTTGCTCTGGAGCCCCATCCTTCCTGAGCCAAGACAAAAAGGTCTGGGCCGGAGGCTAAAGAACTGTGAGCTAGCTCACACTAACTCAGCTTAGAGGGAACACTGGTCACAGTATGAGAAGACTCCCCTAGAAAAGGCAAAAATGCCAGGAGTAGTGGAAGGCATCAGAAAAGAGGAAGACCCAACATGAGATAGATTGTCTCCCGCAAGGATGCCGCGGCCTTCAGTTAGCAAGACCTAGAGTAAGGCTAACAAAGTTTCATTCAAGGTATCTATACCTTGAATAAAACTCTGCTAGACTTAAAGGCGCCCCTGGACCAATGCTCCCTCTAAGCTGTGGAGTCCTGTGAGCAAAAATTCTACTTTGTGAGCTGCTGGCATGAAAGCCGTAAGCGAGCGATTTGGCTACGGCATAGAATAGTTTGCTCTGGAGCCCTCCTCCCTGAGCTAAGACAAATGTGTGTGAGCCGGAGGCTAAGAAACTGTGAGCTAACTCACACTGACTCAGCTTAGAGGGAACGCTGCCCTGGACTCGGATTTTGTCCTTTTGCTTCAGACCAACACAGCTCCCCACCTGAATCTAGATCACAGCTGTTAAGGGTAGGATGTTTTGGAGGTTGTTAATTCGTAGAGTCACCAGAAATCAGAGGTGGTGGGAAAGACCTCGACCTGCGACTCTGGAGAGTTGCTACCCATCTGAGAAGACAATGCTGACCTCGGTGGACTAAGGGTCCACCATAAAATACAACCCTATCCTTTATTCGCTGCAGCTGTGGTCATTAAAATTAAGGCCTCACAGTTGCCATCTCTGGTGTGCCCTTCTGACCCACTGAGGGGGAGACCCAGTAAGAAAGGCGGTACATCCGTCGCCCTAGTCAACAGCCTGGCGGAAGAGCTCCGTCTTGCAGGCCCTGCGGAAGTGTAAAAGGTCCCGCAGGGCCCTGATCTCATATGGTAGCTCATTCCACCAGGTAGGGGCAGCTTCCTGTGTTCCCTCGGAAATAGAGGTGTTGACACACATCCGGACATTCTCCTCAGCGAAGCCTGAAGCTTTCTTGCCAGTCAAGGAGTCCTTCTCCGACTTCCGCCTCGGCCGGTAGATCAAGTTGGTGGAAGGCACCTCAGAGAGCCAGTTTGGTGTAGTGGTTAAGGACACGGACTCTAATCTGGGAGAACCGGGTTCGATTCCCCACGCCTCCACATGCAGCTGCCGGTGTGACCTTGGGTCAGTCACAAGTTCTCTCAGAGCTGTTCTCCAAAGAGCTCTCTCAGCCCCACCTACCTCGCAGGGTGTCTGTTGTGGGAAGGGGAAAGGAGATCGTAAGCCGCTCTGAGACTCCTTTTGGGTAGCGAAGGGCGGGGTATAAATCCAGTCTCTTCTTCTTTTTCTAATATAATTCATCACTGGTTAAAAGGAAAGATTCGAGTGGGCCGCCGTGTTGGCCCGAAGCAACTGAGCAACATTCGAGTCCAGTGGCACTTTTAGGACCGACAAAGTTTAAGTCTGGGTGCGAGCTTTTGTGTGCATGCGCCCTTCATCAGATAAAGCGTGCGCGCACATGAAAGCTTGTACCCTGAATTAAACTTTGTCGGTCTTAAAGGTGCCACGCTGGACTCGGACTCCGTTCTGTTGGTTAAAAAGAAAGGCCCTTTCAGTCAGAAGCATTAAATACAGTTTCCCAGCCATCCACTGCAATCCTAGCGGTGAATCAGCCTTTCCCTCCGAAACGCGTTCTTGTCAGTTGAAAAATGCCTCCTATGGCGCGGGGCCTGACTGGATTTCATTCTGGCTATTAGACCTCTTCGCTCCTTTTCCTCACAGCCGAGGCTCCTTCACATAATGTGGAGGCGAGTGT